CTAGAGACGACTCTAGTAGTAAAATTTATCTGCAAATGAACCAGCTGAAAACTGAGGACACAGCTGTGTATTACTGTGCTCGAAGGGCACAGTGATAGAAAGAAGCAGGAGCCTCATACAAAAACTTCCTCTATTTTCCATTTCCTCTAGAATCCTTCAGCTAACCTGATACTGGTTATAGTTAAGATAAAGATGTCAGTCGGAAAACACACAGAAAAAATACGATCAAACAATAAAGGTTGATTTGAAATTACCTAAAAGATCTAAGTAAAATTTTATGAAATTTCATGAATTTTGAATAAATCATAAAGTTAATATAATTATATATTACTGAAAGACTAGGTTTCAATTGCAGGTTGCCAGTCCATCGCAGGGCAACACAGAGACAAACAGTACAAACAACCATTCCCACACACACTCACACCTAAGGAAAATTTAGAGAAGCCAGTTAACTGAACAGTCATATTTTGTTTTGTTTTTTTTACTGTGGGAGGAAGCTGGAGTACCCAGAGAGAACCTACACATGCTCAGGGGGAATCCTGGGCTGGGAGATCAGCAGGATTGATGAAGACTGGTCCAACTGGAAATCTGCAGGTGCAAGGCAGGCCCAGATTCCAAATTTTTCCTTCCAAGCAGTGGGCTGCCACAGTCAGATCTCTCTGATAACAGCTGATGTGCAATCCAACAGCCATAACACACTACAGTATGTGTTTTAAAGAAGCAATCAGATCTAAGGTATTACCACAGATACCAGTGCCAGTAAAGTTAACTGGAACTTTAAATCAAAATAATATTGACATGGTTAAATTTGCTAAAAGTTAAATGATACAATAGATAAAGCAAATCTTTTATCAGAAATGTGTTTTTGTGAATATTATCTTTTCAAAGATAATTAATTCATTGAGTTTAAATAAGCAACAATTGATTCAAAATTCATCTAGTGTTTTTCTTGATTAAACACTTAACAGTGTAGCTTTCCTTTCAAAAATTATTTGTGTTTCTACAATATCTGACCTGTCAGCAGAGCTTTACAAAAAACCTTTACTTATTTCAGAAGAATTCTTCGAATGCTAAGAATTCTCTAAAACACAATTATCAAGTATATGTTGATATAGAGTGTATAATTATACTAATATTCTTTGTGAATCATTTTTCTTGAATCATAGATATAGTTTGACAAAAAGATACAATTATGAAACATGATGTTTGCACAGTGCTACGCATTACAACTCTGTCTACCAGTTAAAACATCTTACCATAACAAATAGAAAGTATCCCAGTTGTATAATTTCTTTAACATGCACTGGATAAGATAACATTTGGGAACATTAAAGCCGGGCATACACCGTGTGTTACTGTGTGTTACACTGTGCGAAACACTGTGTGTTACTGGGATGGATGGGAGAGCTTTATTATGATGCAAATGTAATTTAGGAGCTTTTCAAAGTTTGTAGGAATCAGCACAGATAGCAGCAGCAACCTGGTGTATCTGATAAAGCCCAACTTAAGGCCAGAGGACTCTGCTGTGTATTACTCTACTGTGCCAGAGAGGGACAGTTCTAAGGAGGTGAAGAAACTAAACAAATCCCTACAGAGGATATTTTGCTCTTCCACCAGATGGTGGCAGTGCTGGCAGCAGAATGAGTGACTGAGCAGTGCTTCAAAGGGAAATTAACGTTTTTCAAAATTGTTTCGTTCTTTCTCTCATATTTGTTTCATGTTCCAGATGTGTCTAAATGAGCAAAACATTATAGTAACCTGTAGTAGGAGCAGTAATGTTTTTAAGTACCTGGAGGCCCACCCTCCTATTCTAAGCCAGATGCAAATCAATGACCCCCCCTCATGCCTTTTCATGGGTCGTTGGAGTCAGCTGTTTTGGTTCTAGCCTTTTGTATCATGTTTTTTGGTTTTGGAGTATTTGCAAAATACAGTAGTAGCCATTCAAAAATTCCACACTGTCCTTGATGGGCCCTTGGATGGTCCTGTAAATCCTTTTTAAACATCAATATTTGTACTAAAATATTCTGTCATGATTTGTGGACATTAAGATCTAAGGAGAGGTGTTACCTCCTGGTCAGATCCTGTAATTCAGTGAAAGGGTGGAGCAAGAGTAAAAAAATATGCAGGCAATCGGATAAAACACAATATTTGTCTCTGCAGATCTAATGCTATCCTCCTTTAACCCTTTGATGCCCAATAGTGCAAATATGCAACAAACCATTTGTTTCATATATATATATATATATATATATATATATATAT